TATTAAATATCATCAAGTTGATTCTGACTCATAGCAACCCTGTATAGGGTTTCCAAGGAGTGACTGGTAGGTTTGAACCCCTGACCTTTTGATTCAAACCAACCTTGCAGTCCAGCGAGCCACACCGGAACTCATATATATGCATATGTATATGTGTGGCTTTGTGGGTTCATGCACCAGACTGCAAAGCCGCTTGAACTGCAAGGTCAGCAGTTCAAGCTCACCAGCTACTTCTTGGAAACCCTATACAGGGTCACTATGGGTCGGAACCGACTCGATGGCACTTAACAACAACAACAATATGTATGTATATATTCATGTTGTTTTTAAGTGCCGTCGAGCCTTGCAGTTCAAATGACTTGCAGTCTGATGTATTAGCCCACAGCACCACACCAGGACTCCATATATATATACATACACACACACATATACATATATAGATAAAGAGAGTTCTGGTGTGGCACTTCGGGTTAATGCACTAAACTGTAAGATTAACTTGAACCCCCAAAGTCAGTGGTTCTAGCTGTTCCATAGGGGAATGATGAGGCTTTCTGCTCCCGTAAAGATTTACAGCCTCGGAAACCCCGAACAGGGTCGCTATGCATCAGAACCAACTCCACGAAACATAACCACCACCACCATATGAAGTCCTAGTGTGGCACTGTAGGATAAGCAGTGGACGAACCAGAAGGCTGGTGGTTCCAATTCACCAGCACCACAGCGCCAAGATAGATAGGTTTTTTTTCAACCTACCTCTTATATTGTATATTGCCTTTCCCATTATCCAAGTTAAAACAAATCTACCCTTTAGACAGTGACTAGTTCTTCCTTTCCTTTCCCTTTCACCTATGTGCCGTGGAGTCAGTTCTGACTCATAGTGAGCTTGTACAGGGTTTCTGAGGCTGTAAATCTTTACGAGAGCAGAAAGCCTCCTCTTTCTCCCGTGGAACAGCTGGTAGTTTTGAACTGCCAACCTTGAGGTTCGCAGCCCAATTTGTAACCACTACGCTACCAGAGCCGTTTCATAATAGCCCCAAATTGGAAGCAACCCAAATGTCGAACACCACTTTGCTAGATGAATGAATTGTGGTATACTCACAAAATGGAATATGACACAACAGTATATAAAAAAAGGAACGACTGCACCAATACAACATAGCTAAATTTCACATACATGCTGTTGTTAAGTGCTGTCGAGTTGATTCTGATTCACAGTGAACCTTTAAAGGGTTTCCGAGGAGCTGCTGGTGGGTTTGAACTGACAACCTTGTGATTAGCAGTCCAGTGCCACACCAGGACTCTCATAGACATTGTTGTTGTTGTTAAGTGCCGTCGAGTCGATCCCGACCCATAGAAACCCTGTACAGGGTTTCCAAGGAGCAGCTGGTAAGCTTGGCCCACCGGCCTTGCAATTCAAACAACTGTACAGTCTGATGCATTAGCCCACAGTGCCACACCATGTCTCATAGACATAGACTTGAGAAAAGTAAGAAGTCAGAAAAAAAGAGCCCTTTTTGCATAAAGTTCCAAGTATATGAATAACTAAATCTATGGGTTATTGAATATGCGGTGGGGGTGGTCAGCTGAGTCATTTGAGATGTTGAAAAGATCTTATCTCTTGATCAGTGAGAAGGTTCAGCGGGTGTTGTTATTGTTAATGTTAAGTGCCATCCAGTCCGTTCCTACTCATAGCGACCCTGTATAGGGTTTCCAAGGAGCAGCTAGTGTGTTTGTACTGTCGACCTTCTGGTTCTAACCAACCTTACTTATCCTACAACGCCACATATGTAAAGGTTCATCTAGTTGTATCCTTAAGATTTGTGCAATTTAGTATTTACCTCAATGAAACAAAAACACATATACATAAAATGAAAATTGTAACGTTCAAATCAGTAAATATTTAATAGAAATAAAGAATCAAAGGAGAAGTTTTTGAATTTGGAAAATACTGGATTAATTTCCATAAGATGAAATTGTGTTTACCTAATGAAGGAGTCCTAGTGTGGCACTGTGGGTTAATGTGCTGGACTGTGAGGTCAGTTTGAACCACAAGGTTGGCAGTTCAAGCTCACCAGCTGCTCCTTGGAAACCCTATGCAGGGTTGCTATGAGTTGGAACTGACTAGATGGCCCTTAACAGCAACAACAATGAAGCTTAAGGTCATATTTGTATGATGCCAAATATATGGATTTGGGGAAATACCAAAATAAACTGTAGAAACTTGAAAATTGTTTCTATAGTCATCTTGCTCTTTGGTAATGTATCGATCCAGCCTTAAGTCAGCTGAGGCAGGGATGATAAAACCCCAGTGTTCAGGAAACTTTTTCACTCCTCACCAAACGAAAAAAGGGAGCTGCCTTTTTTATTCCTGTGAGTGTAGGTCACAAGGATCCATGGTGGTGCAGTGGTTAAGCACTTAGCTGCTAGCTGAAAAGTCTGTAGTTTGAACTCAACAGTTGTTCTGTGGGAAAAAGATAAAGCTGTCTGTTTTCATAAAGATTTCAAATCTCAGAAACCCTGTGGGGCAGTTTTACTTTGTCCTACTGGGTTGCTGTAAGTCAGAACAGACTCCATGACCATGAGTTTTGTAGTGTCACTATGTTTCAGATACTTTGACTCTATCTGGGGAATGTGTGGGAAAATTGTAAAATCCAACACCTGTAAGGTAAATTATTGTTGTTGCTAAGTGCCATAGAGTATACAGTTTCTGAGGAGCGACTGGTGAGTTTAAACCTCCGACCTTACGGTGCAAACCGACCTTGAGGTCGAGTGCTTAACCTATGGTGCCACACCAGGTCTCCACATTAGTATATCACAGTTGCAACGGCCCTTCCTGACTTCCTGCTCATCTCTGACATGGATGGGCCTGGAGGTGGTCCACATGTATTTTGCTCTAGTCAGTCTTCAATACATACGTCCCAAATTCCATCCTTAAATTTTGTCTATTGGTTGGGGTAAGTAAATCTGCCATTGATTTTGATTTTGTGGCTCTGCATTGGATCACAAGGTCGGTTTGAACTGCAAGGTTGGCAGTTCAAATTCACCAGCTGCTCCTTGGAAACCCTATACAGGATTGCAGTGATTCGGAACTGACTTGATGGCACTTAACAACAACATCATAGACCTTTAATAGGGTATTTATGTTAAGAAATTTTTGCTGATCAAGGTATATGTTCAAAAGGTTTGGAGAATACTATTCTCTATTCTGAAATGTCAACTTCATTAGAATGACTTAAAGCTCCTTTCCAGAACTTCAAAATGGTAACACAGATTCTGAGTTCAGGATGAAAGAATGTTGTTAGACTAGACACCAGGCAAAATGCTAGGTGATGTTATCTGTAGCCTGGAGTTACACTTTCAGAATCCCAAGTGTATGATTTCTTGTCCCCTTCAAGCCTAATTGACAACTAAAATGGAGAAAACTAGAAATTACTAAATTTTTAGTTTTAGAAATTACTAGTGTAAGGTAATAGGACTAACTTAATTTTAACAGTAGTTTTTATTCTTTCACCTATCAGGCAGAAAAGATGTGGCAATATTTGATTATAAACAGAAATCCCACCTAACTTAACATTGTGTCTTTTCTGTTAGTAAACTTCGAAAAGATTATCCTTCCAAAATCCTGGTCAACCTGTGCATGGCACTATTGATGCTAAACATGGTATTTCTGGTCAATTCCTGGTCAGCCTCATTTCAGAATGTGGGACTTTGTATCACCGCTGCAGCGGCTCTTCATTACTTCCTGCTCGTCTCTTTGACGTGGATGGGCCTGGAGGCGGTCCACATGTATTTTGCTCTAGTCAAAGTCTTCAATACATACGTCCCAAATTACATCCTTAAATTTTGTCTGATTGGTTGGGGTAAGTAAATCTGCCATTGTCTTGATATCTTTGATTTAAGTCTGTGTTTTATCTTTCTAATTCTATCTCTATCAGAGAAATTATTCTATTATAGTTGTAGGTATAGTCATAGGTCAGGAATTAATTATTACTATAGTCATAGGTAAGGAATTAAGATGTGCATTTTTTTCTGCCTATTTTTCTCTATAAATTTGACTTTTAACCTTTAAACTGGGAAAATGAACTACAAATATGCAAGTTGGTAGTTTTCGCAAACAGTTTGTGAAAAAAATGGGGAAAAAAAGATAATGGAATTTTCCCAAAAATTTTTTTATGTCCCCTGGAATGTATTAAATATTATGCTAAATTCTGGATCATACTGGAGTCCTGATGTGGCACTGTAGGCTAATGCATCAGACTGCAAAGTTGTTTGAACTGCAAGGTCGGTGGTTCTAGCTCACCAGCTGCTCCTTGGAAACCCTATACAGGGTTGCTATTGGTTGGAATCAACTCAACGGCACTTAACAACAACAACAACACCTGTCATATTTGATCTGCCCTTTTACAGAAGTTAATCTCAACAAATACTTACTGATATAACAGCTAACACTTAGGTAGCACTTAAAGTGCCAGGTTGCAAACCTCACACTATCTCTAAAGGACAGGTTTCATGATTATATCCATTTAATAGATGGGGACACAGAGCAATTGTGTATTTTGCTAAAAATCACACAGCTAGTAAGTAGTAGAACTCGGCTTTGAATCAAGGAGTCTGCTCCATGATTTGCACTTTTAATCTTTATAATACAGCCATATGGCTTAAGGAAGGACTTGACATGTATAAAAGGATACTGGGTCAGATTTGACTCTCCTGAGTGTGACTATCACTTTCACCCTGTGGAAGAAACCAGGGCTGGAACCCAGAATGAATACTCCTAATGTAAATAGCATTTCATTGGCTTACTTTCCTTGATTTCTAACTCACAATGGCCAGCTCCACTTACCTTTTTCCTTGTCTATTCAAAACAGACTCTAGGTTTTGAAAATGTGTGGGATACATAAAACCAAAACCAGTTGCCCTCAAGTTGATTCCAACTGATGGCAACCCCATGTGTTGCAGAGTAGAGCTGGTCTTCATAGGATTGTCAGTGGCTGATTTTTCAAGTAGAACACCAAGCTTTCTTCTAAGGTCTCTGGGAGAACTTGAACTGTCAACCTTTTGATTAGCAGCCAAATGTGCTAGCCACTCAGGGATCCCAGGGTCTACATGTTGTTGTTAAGTGCCATCGAGTCGATTCCAGCTCACACTGACCCTGTATAGGGTTTACAAGGAGCGGCCAGTGAATTTGAACTGCCAACCTTGCAGTTCAAACTGACTTTGTGGTTAAGTGCTTATCCTACAGCACCACACCTGGAGTCTAGGGGATACCTAGGTATTGTGTTGTATGTGGGATACAGAGAAAGATAGATTTTATCTTCCACCAACCTTTGTAAAGACAGTACCTTCCCAATTAAGTTGTTCATCCTTTTAATAAATTCATTACCATAGTGCATACTTTTATTGGACACATAGTCCAATAAAATCTATGCTAATGTGGGAAGCAGAGGCAGGCAAATACTGAACAATGTTTTAGCACTATGTTGTTGTTAAGTGCTGTCGAGTCAGTTCCGACCCGTAGCGACCCCGTATAGGGTTTCCAAGGAGCGGCTGGTGAGCTTGAACTGCTGACCTTGCAGCTCAAACCAACTTGGCAGTCCAGCACATTAACCCACAGTGCCACCCAGGACTCCTTTAGCACTATTGTTGTTAAGTACCATCGAATCAGTTCTGACCCATAGTGACCCTGTATAGGGTTTTCCGAGGAGCAGCTGGTGAGCTTGAACTGCCAACTTTGCAGTTCAAACGGCTTTGCAGTCTGGCCCATTAACCCACAGTGCCACACCAGGACTCCTTTACTTATCCAAAATCTTGTTTCTGCACACTCTAGAATGCCTATCAAAACAGAACCAAACAGCAGACCATGTGTCCTTTTGCCTGGCATCCTTCATCTTGGCTCAACCAGAAGCTTAGAAAGTGTAGGGAAGAGACTTTATGAACAATCCAAAAAGTGGATAACTCACATGTGGCTAATTGTGAAACAGCTTTAAATATCACTGGCTCCTGGCTTTCCATTTTCTTTAAGCTCACTCAGGCTCAGCTTCTTCTGCAGATCCCTCCTTCTTCATTTACTCCTTAAATGCTAATATTGCCCTGGGCTGTGTCTTATCCCTTTGATCTTCTTACTCCACAAACACTTCCTGTGTTACCAGGAGAGGCAGGAAATACTATATGACTTGGTACTTGGAGGCAGGAGAAATCTAGGAGTGTCAAGCATGCACACAAGACAAGGCAAGACTTAGGTCATGGTTCTGCCAATAAGGTACAACGAGACACTCTAAGAGTTGATTTATCACTCACGTAGACTGTGAAAGGAAGAGCCGCTAATGTTGCTACTGTCCCACACACTGAAAGGAATGATTTCCTTCCCACCAAAAAAAGGGTACCAGTAGATGACTAACTGAGTTATGGGATTCCTTGTTGCTGAGGAGCCAGTTCTAGACTATAGCTGTGTGGTTTTCTGTTTTTTCCCCCACTATTTTCTGTGGGAAGAGGGCAGTGGTGGCTCAGTATAGAATCCCCAGGTTTTGTTCTTGGTCAGTGCACCTCGTGCAGAGTCACCATCCATCTGCCAGTGGATTCTTGTATCCTGGCTGCTGTGATACTAACACATTTCATGGAACTTCCAGAATAGGATGGACTAGGAAGAATGGCTTGGTGATCTACTTCCAAAAATGCAGTCATTGAAAACCCTGTGGGTCACAATAATCTTAAACCCCTTTGAATGGGTCACTATGAGCTGGGGCCAACTTGACAGTAATCAACACCAACAATCTGAGGGGGCTGAGCAAAAAGCACCACATCTCCTCAGAACCTGGGAGGTGCTTAGAAACTATCTCATGATAGCATCCCAGGAGAGATAGGGAGCCTAGTGGGAGATGGCCTCGAAACAGCTCCTCACATATGTGCTGGGTGTGGGCTACACAAATTTGAAGAGATTGCCTTGATTATCACAGAATACAACAGTGGAGGAGTTTTCAAGGTGCTTGACACTCTCCAGACCAGAAGATTATATATGTAATCTTAGTTTCGAAAAGAAATAGTAATTTAATTTTCACAACTGTGCATGAAATTAGATTTTTAAACCCCATGTCTACACTCATGTCTCATTTGACCATTTTGACTGAATTTATTGCTTTATTATAGTCTAGCTGAATTGGCTGGTCAATCTAGTCAAACTGTATAGAAAAAACTTCTTTGTCAAAAAATCAGTGAAGGTTGAAGCCTACTGCCAACACCCTTCCGTCAAAATAACCCAGACAAAAAGATACAGCAAACTTTGGAGCAGTGTTGAAAGGGAGAGAAGAATTTGGCAACCCATCAGTTGAGAAGAACCCGTCATGTGAACTCGCATTCCAATGAACTACATATTTTTATCACAAAGTTAGTTTTTTTGGCATTTGAACTATTTTTATTAACCAGTGGGTGTTGTATTGAAGCCATGGGCATACTGTTTGCTTTAGTAGATTGGAGAACTTTTAGACATATTGAACTTGGAAGAATTCACAAACCTTTTGAAACAATGATATTATAATGCTCTCGTATCTGTGGCTCACGTAAGAAGTATTTTCATATATCAACGCCCACATCATTGATCAGGGTCCCCCTCCTCATTCCTAATGGGATCTCTTTGGTTTGCTTTCCCACTCTAGGAATTCCAGCTATTTTGGTGGCAATCATACTCAGCGTGAAGAAAGATCTGTATGGAATTATGAGCCCAGTGACTCCATTGTAAGTACAAACATCTCTGCTTCTCTATGGTGGTGGGCCTTTTCAGTGTGTGGTGGGGTGTTCTTGATGCTGACTTCAGGAAGACTCTTCTGTGGCCTCATTTACGTAATGATTAGGACCTACCTGCTATATGACTCAGAGCAAGTTATCTCCCCTCTTACTTCCACATCCTCCTCTGCAAATTGGAATTAGAATGTTTTCTCTCCATGTTGTGTGAGTGCTATGTGTCTGATGACAGCTCACAGAAGTTAGTAGGAGATGTTGTTGTTAAGTGTTGTTGATTCAGTTCCCACCCATAGCAACCCTGCATAGGATTTCCAAGGAACTGCTAGTAAGCTTGAACCACCGACCTTGGGGTTAAAACCAACTTTGCAGTCCAGCGCATTAACCCACAGCACCACACCAGGACTCCAGAAGGCGATGAGGTGCCCATTATATTTTAACCTTTCAACAACAAACATGTCCACGGAAGAAGACTGTCCTTTATAAACCATCTCAACTTTCTTGTCCTCTTTTTAAATTTTCTGTTTGCTGTATCTTTCATCCAGTCACAAGAGAATAACAGTGAGCTTCCCCCTCCACCTCTCCAGAATCTTCTTTTACAAGTGTGTTCATAGTTATCTTGTGGTCTTCCAGGTTGCAGAATTCCATTTCACACTTCTGATTGTTTCGGTTTTTGTTTTTTTTTTTTTTTTTTACTTAGCCATATCATTCTCTTTATCATTACCTCTCAATTTTCCTTCCACTCTGAGTTTCCTCTCCAACTGGACTAGAATCAAATGTAGGAAGTTCTGCCATGAAGATCCCCCCAACTCCCACCCCGCATCTACCCTTCTTTCATATTTAGTTGACAGTTTTCCAGAAGTTCAAATTACATTGCCTCTTCAGCCTTCTAATTACAATTCCTTGTTAGCCTTTCTCTCGTTCCCTTTAAGCTTCCCTTACTTCTCAACTCCTCCTTGCCTATTTTGTGGTTAATGAGTCACCAGTATCTATCTAATGGTGATTCTTCTTCAAAGATCAAAAGCAAATCAGGACAAAAACAACTCCCCTAGTCCCCCAAACCCCGCAAAGAACAAAAACAAAAACCTTTTATATGTGAATTGGTTAGTAAGAGGAAAACTGTTCTAAGAGGTTTTAAAATATAATTATTTTTGAAGAGGGCACACATGGACGTGGCTTAAAATTCAAAAGAACAAAAAAGTAGAGGGTGAAACTTAAGCCCACCCTCCATTTCTAGCTACCCAGTTTCTCTCTCCAAATTCTTGGGCATCCTTCCAGAGATGGTCTATGATTAGACACTAAAATTCACATAGGTATACTTTTACTCAACTTTGGTACCCAAATGATACACCTTGTCCTTTTCACTTAATGGTATATCTTTTTTAAAAAAAAAACTTTTATTAGGAATTGAGTGATAATTTACGTGGAAGAACATTGGTTTATACTCATCCTACCGTATTTTGTTTCATTGCAATGATTACAATCCCCTCTATGCATCATCATTCAACAATATTTGCTTCCATTCCCTCTGTTGTTTCTTTTTCTTTTCTTTCTTTTTTTTTTTTTAATATACACAAAAACACTCAGGATGTAAAATAATTTAAACAACCCAAGGAGACATTCTACAAGCCTGTCTCCTGCCCGCAAGCACACAGCTTTTCTCTTTCCATGAGTCTAGAGTCCTCAGCTGCTCCCTCTCTCCATGTCCTCATCTCTGCCTCCGTCTCTGGTGTCACTGCTTCTTTGGATAGGGTCCCACATTCCACTCATGCTCTTCTCCCTTGATGGTCCTAGGGTCCTCTGTTCCTGGAATGTTGTATTAACTACTCCCCCATTTATGTTACAAAACTTCTACCTTGACAGTTGTGACAACTGCAATTAGTCATGATAACAATTACTCACTATTAATGGTATATCTTTGAGATGACTCTGTATCCACACATATACAGCTGCCTCATTTTAAGAATTTTTTTGTTTTGTTTTGTTTTTATACAACCTTCAAAGCTGAAGACAATATTCAGGGAACTCTTAAGTACTTATTCTATCAGGAAATTAAATGTTATTTTCTACTCAATCCTAACATAAAACACACACATTCACACATGCATGAAATTATCCACACCAACATGAGTAACATGGCCCAAAGGGATTTCCTGGGTCCAGTTATAAGGTCTCAGCCAAGTTTATACCAGGTTAAATTATGATTTTCCTGTGTTCAAAAATCAGTGATTATTGTTGTTGTTAGGTGCCATCGAGTCGGTACCAATTCATAGCGACCCTATGCACAACAGAATGAAACACTGCCTGGTCCTGGGCCAACCTTACAATCGTTGCCACACTTGAGCCCTCTGATGCTGCCACTTTGCAAGTCCATCTCACTGGTGGTCTTCCTCTTTTTCTCTGACCCTCCACCTTACCAAACATGATGTCCTTCTCCAGAGACTGGTCCCTCCTGACAATACGTCCATAGTATGAGAGACGAAGTTTAGCCATCCTGGCTTCCAATATGGGAAATATTATTAAATGAAGTTCATTTATTTTTTGTTGTTGTTGTTGTTGCTAAGTGCCGTCGAATCGGTTCCAACTCATAGTGACCCTGCACATGAAATGTATATTACTTCTTTAATAGAAAAATGTGGAGCTATTAATCAAGCAAGTGACCAATGTTGCCTTTTGGAGTCCAAAGCAGTAGCTGTGATGGGAGGTTTAAAATACATACTTTAAAACAATACAACTAGAGTTGTTCTCTTTTTGTTGCATTTTCACTAACTCTGATCTCTCATAATTATTTGATACAGCACTCACAAAAGCCATTCATTGCTCATGTCCGTTTGCTTGATATTTACAATGCAAAGCAGAATTCATCTTGCAGATAAGAGGGGTGGTAGGTGAGGAGGAGCCACTTTGTGGGGGAAGTACATCTTTTGTTTTTCTGTTGTTGAGGAAAACAGTTATCTCCAAGGAAACTGGAATTGGTTTCTGCATATGCAGACTGAAATGTCCTCTAGAATTTCTGACTTGGCCTTGGAAAGAACACTAGACTAAGGCTTAGAAGGCTCCCAGAGTCAACTCCAGCCGGTTTCTCTCTCTGGGTCTAGGTGTCCTCAAATGACATGAAACTTATGAGATGGCCTTCAAAGTCTCACTAAAAAGTGTGAGTTTATGCTGTTCTTCCTCACAATGGCCTTCTTTTCTTTGTCTCTTACAGTTGTTGGATTAAAGATGATTCTATATTTTACATCTCAGTCGTGGCCTATTTTTGCCTTATATTTGTCATGAATCTCTCCATGTTCTGCACTGTTCTTGCTCAACTTAATTCTATGAAAGCCCAAAGCCAGAAGATTCGTCGGAAGATGATCCTACAAGACCTGAAAGGCACAACAAGTCTGACATTCTTACTTGGCCTCACTTGGGGGTTTGCATTTTTCGCTTGGGGACCTATGAGGATCCTCTTTTTGTATCTTTTTGCCATTTTTAACACTTTGCAAGGTAATTTTCCTTTTTATGACTAGTTAGACCTCTGCCAACTCTTTTGCTGCTTTTGATAATAATCTCACCTATCAGAGACTTGAAAGACGGAAAAAGTACTCCAAGAGGCCTATCCTCTCATTGAGTTGAAAGGCAACCATTGAAAACATTAACAAGATGTTAGGACTTCATTGAATGAATGCTCAAAGATGTAGGGAGAAGCTCAAATAGCTAGCACAATTCCCTCCAATTATGTTGTTGTTGTTGTTGTTGTTGTACAGACTCATAGCAACCTTAAGCACAGCAAAATGAAACACCGCATGGTCCTTTTGCATCTCACAATTGTTGCAACATTTGAGCCTGTTGCTGTTGCCACTGTGCTAATTCATCTGGTGGGTTTGTTTTTTTTTTTTCATTGATCCTCCACTCCAGTTATGGCAACACTTTTACAGTCTTCATTGTATAAACACACTGTGGTTGTAAGTATACCGAATAACACTTGTATTGACATTTTGAAGGGAAAAACCCAGTTGAGCATAGCAATTACTGGAAGGTAGAAACATTAAGGTTTTGACCCCATAGACTCTGGCTACCTCAGATATCCCAGCACTGTGTGAAAGAGATAGGTTAAGAAATTGAAGAATTGCAAGGAATGAAAGTCAAAAGCAAAGAAGAGTGGACCAAGCAATGTAAGAGGCCAGGACTCCAGTCTTGGCTGCTACAAACCAATTTTGAGAAAGTCACCACAGCTGGTAGAATCAGATGATCCTAAGGATCAGTAGACTCCTGGTATGGTGTTGTAGGATAAGCACTGGACTGCTAACCACAGGGCCGGTGGTTCAAACTCACCCGCTGTTCACAGGGTCACTATGAGTTGGAAAGGACTTAATGTCACTTTATAACAATAAGAACCAACCTGTGGAACTGTGGGAAATCAGTGATAAGCCAAGATGGTATGAAAAGTACAAGCTAGAGGTATATTATACCTCTCAATAATTAGCAATGCTTATTTTGATCTGATTATTTTCTATTAAAAATTCTTGGTGGAGCAGCTGGTAGGTTTGAACTGCCGACTTTGCAGTTCAAACTGACCTTGTGGGTTGAGTGCATTATCCAGGACTCCCAATGATTCATGATGCTTATTTTTACCTTTTTTTTTTTTTTCTTTTGCTATTGACAAATTGCAGGGGTACGAAGCATGCAGAATGATTTCCTTAGAGTCTCAAACTCCAAGCCATTTTCTCATTGCTGAGTTTAGATTAGTGTGTTTGGGCTATCAGGGCAGACTGAGTCAGGATCTCCCTTACTGCCCTTCACGATTCATTCATTCAACATACTCATTTACCACAGTGCAGTCCATCAGTGGGTCCATGGGATGCTCTAGCAAGAAAAGAGTTCTATGGCCAAAAAGTTGACCATGCTGTAAGTTATATTCCCCCATTATTAGAATGGCATGAAGAAATCTCTGAAAAAATCAGCTGAAAAAAAAAAATTTTTTTTTAGAAAACATTTAAAAATTTGGTTTTAACCCAGTGTTTTAAAGACATCAGATACTTTAGTAGTTGTGGTTGTTAACCCAGAGGAGCCTTGGGAAATGTGAATTGCTAGGCATTTACAATATATCTGGCAATTGCAGAGTGCTGGTGTGGGGGAAGCAGTCTAATATAAGACATGGTTTACTGTCTTGCAAACCATCTCATTTTAAAACAATAAAGTAGACCAACTGAAACTTTCAGTTCTACCAGATTCTGCCAAGCTTATGCAGCCATATTGATTGGAATTTTTAAAAACCCAAAATATTTCGTTATTGTTAGTCTGGTCAAAGGCATGCTATTTTTAGGAACTCTCCACCCCACTCTCATTGGGTCCCTTTGAGGCTACCAACATTGGGTTGTATCCTGGATTACTGATGGGGGTTCTGGTAATAATTCAGTACTTTTCTTCTTGACAGAACTGCCTGGCCTACACTAAATAACCCTGGTTGAGCACGGTGCTCTAACTTCAAAACTAACCAACTGTATTACTTAACAGATCAATTCCACGTGGTGCATTCCTGAAGTCTCAAGTATGACTATTGAGGGCATGGAAGGAGCTATGGCAAAAACGGACCCAGTTAGAGCCCCGTTCATCTTGATCATTCTGTTCTTTGTCCCCTTCTGTTTTATTTGCTTTCTCATCTTTACATCTCCCAGCCCCAGAGACACTGCCACATAGACCCCCAAACCCAAACAGCTCTCACTTCTAGGTCAGAATTCAAGCAAATGTCCACAGAGGTCACAGACAATATACATACTGTTCTGTTATAGACAATATATTACCCCTTCATGTCCTAAAGGAGACATTTTCTCTTATAGATTTTCATTTTAGTATCTTTATTTTTAGTTTTATGTTCACCTCCATCATTTTCTTGAATGAAGACATCCCTTCATTCCAGAAATGCCCCTTTTGTGTCTATGATGTTCCTATTCATAGCTTTTCTTGATAGGACTAGTACAGTCTTGGGAACAGGGTTGCTGTATGTTGAAGGTCTGACAGCAGCTCTTAGCCTTGCCTGTCTTAGGTAATTATGCTGTGCATTTTTTTATTGGTGTACCATGTTTGATTTGGCCCTAATACATTTCATTTGATGTTTCATGACAAATGGTACAGTAATACAGCATCAACTTATTAAAGTACATTTTAAGCCTTTTAAAAGTTAAACAAAACAAAAACTAACTAAGCTTGGTGTAGAGTATTCCACAGAAGTGAATCAGTAACCACCTACCTGGCACAATTCTTCCTCAGCAATAAGTCCAGGCTTCTTTTTGGCTAAGTAATTCTAAGGAAAAATATGCTCAATCTTTGGAAAGAGAGATAAAAGGGAACGCTCACCTCCCCCCCCCCCAAAAAAAAGCAAAACAGTTTAGAGACCTTTTCAAAGAAGTGCTTTCAAAACAGTTAGTGTGCTCCATTCTTACAGTTGAAGGGGAAGAGTATTTAGCAGGTAGCCTACATGAGTACAGCAGACTCCAACTAAGATCTCTTGAAGACTAAAATCAAAGCCCCGTAGATCTAGCATCAACAAAACCAAGCTATAAGACATACTTTATGTCAATTGAGCATGAAGCATTTCTAGTCTTACCTATAAGATAAAATGTGCCATGCTATCTTGTGGAGCCCTGAGTTCCAAACTCAAGTCACACACTCCCACACACTCCACACCCCCACACACCACATCACACACATATACACCTGTCCACACTACCCAAATAACCTCAAAACAAGAATGCAATGAAGCAAGTGCACAAATTAGTCATTTCAAAGATAGATGGCAAGCTCACAATTCTGGTTGAAGCGGGCTGCCTGTGGTCAGGTGTGAATAAATTATGCTCATGACGAGCCATCAGTGAAGGCGGAATGCACAAATAAAAATGCAGGTGACACAACTCTGACATCTTCCCTCATGCCTGTGTTCTAGTGAGTAAGCAGATCAATCTGTTATTGGAAAGAAAAAGGAGGGCTGTCAAGCAGCTCATTAGAATTTGCAGAATAACCTTTCAGTCTGAGAAGTAACTAAACTCAATACCGGAAGTCAGAGCGGGAAGAAAGCAGTTGAGGTCACTGGGGTCTGCTCACATGGGATTGCTACATGCACCACTTCCCAGATGGTTACTGCTCAGAAAAAAATAAATAAAAAGAGTGAAGGCTGCTGAAAAATGAACAACCACAGTTGTTAGATGACAAATGAAGAGAAAGTCCTTAGAGGTGTTAATGAGGCAAGTCATTACCCCAGGCTTGCTGCCTCCCACCTGGAATCTCAGAGTCTCAGGGCAGGAAGTCACTGGTGTCTGCCTGAAATCCCCCAGGTACTGTGAACTTACCTCTCATTAAACTAAGCATTTAACTGATAATCAACTGTGGGCTTTACCTGAAGATCATCTGGTGCAGTAATTAAGTAATCAAATAGCTAGTCAGGCTTGGCTAGTCAGCATGCCTTGTGATTTGTCCTGAAACTGGCAGCTCACTGTGAATTCAATGGGTCTCTGCTCTCTGGATCAAGTTTACTAGACTTCTTGTACTCCAAGTAGAGATGGGACTATTGGCACAATATCTAGTATACCAGCTGATCGATCCATGGGTGAAAGATGGGACTGTTTGATCCTGTAAAGATTACAGCCTCAGAAACTCTGCCCTATTGGGTTGCTATGAGTTGAAATTGACTAGACGGCAGTGGATTGGCTGGTTGGCCAGGGTCTCTTATGAAATTATAATCAAACGTTTGGAAAGAGATGCCGTCCTCTGACAGCTTGACTGGGGTTGTAGAATCTGCTTCCAAGAAAGCTCACTCACATGCTCTAGAGTGGAAGCCTCAGCTACTCACCATGTGGGACTCTCCACAGGGCTGTCTCTCAGAGTCTTCAATACACACTTTGCATTCCCCAGAGTGAGCGATCCAAAAGAGAAAGCAAGTGAGAGAGAAAAATAACAAGATGAAAGCCACAATGTTTTTTTATCACCTAAACTAGGAAGTGGTATGCCATTACTTCTGCCATGTTTTGTTGGTGCAGTGTGAGAGGGCACTACACAAAGGTGTGAAGGCCAGAATGCGGAGATCATTGGGTGTCATCTTGAAGGCTAGCTACCATAACAAACCTGACCTCTCATGCTCTGGATGGACAGCAGTCCAGGGGAGAAATTGTGGTTGATGTAAAATCTTACTACCTTCGTGCCGTCACTGCCTTTGGGAGAGAAGTCAGAAAGATGAGATCAGAAAGTCAGCAGTGGTCCTGAGGTTCCTTAAAGGTAGTATCAGAGGTGACAGGAGCAGATCTGAGTCTGGATATTGGTGACGGCTGGTGCAAGAAACTGAAACAGACTGACCTTTTTCCCTGGTTTAGGGTTCCTCATTTTTGTGTTCTACTGTGCAATGAAGGAGAGTGTGCGGGAGCAGTGGCAGATACACATTTTTGGCAGGTGGTCTCAACTGGATAACTCTTCTGGTAAGATGTCAATTTGAGTAAGATTTGGAGTTTTACATTCTTTACAAAATCCATCCGATTAAGTTGTCTCCTAATTGTAGTTCATGCAGCATCAGCATTTAAATGGAGGCTGTTTCCATGTCATAAAAATTGTTTGTACTTTTGTGTTGATGAATAAAGTCACACGAAGAATGTGACTTGGGCCAGATTTTAACCCAGCAAAACTTCTCTTTGGACCGCAATTCCTTGATTTTGTTTTTGTTTTTTTTGTTGTTGTTGTTCTGACTGTCACCTCAGTCTTAGTTCACTGAAAAGAACATTGATTGTGTGCCTACTGTGTTCTAGGCACTGGGTTTCAGAGGCTTTCTAGCTCATAGTCAACAGTGGGTTCAGTGGCTGTGGGGCTGAGGACTGATGGTGAAGATGGAAAGAACTCAGCAGCATTTCTAAGATACTTGGTCAGGTGGAATGCCAGAGTGGGAGCTATAGGAACTCTATGTTGCCTCTTAAAACTGGTGCTTCCCTTGAGAATAATAACTCCACTCCCAGCAAATTGATTTTCTCCCTATCAAAAGGCTCTTCCATTTATTTCAGTCTCAATACAAAGCCCAGTCTGTGTCTGTTAGGGAAGGTAGTCGCTGAACTGTAAGTTTGCATCAGGCTCATGAAAATTCCTACTCTGTGAACTGGACATACCAGTAGCCTGAAGGTCCTGTGCCAGACTCCAGGAAAAATGTTCATCTTTGGTGAGTCCGTTCTGGCTGTACCACACATTACAGTACAAACTTAACTTCTCATAACTTGATAAAAATATAACTCCTAGAGGTACCCAGAATAAATACTCTATATTGGACTTAATCAATGTAATTTAACAGTGCTATTGAGGTAGAATTTATGCACCATAAAATTCACTCATTTTTAACTGGACAGTTTGATGAGTTTTTGTGGGTAGGGTTTTTTTTTTCCTAACTTTTTTGGGATTTCATTTCAGATGTGAGCAGCAGATGTGGGCTGAATGTTGGCTATAAACAGGAGAGACGGAAGAAAATGCCTGAGCACAAATGGTTGGCACCACCACTTAAGTCAACAGGAACTAACTCCCCTTACAAATGTTTAGGCTCCACACAAGGTATTCCTTCGGACATAAGCCACCACAATGGTGAGAAAATAAAAAGACTAGCTGTGTACACTGATTTTCAGCGATATTGAATCAATGTGAGACAAGATATTTGGTCTTGGATAATACGTCCCCCTCAAAACGAAATGACATGTGAATATATATACTTGAGCTGATTGTTTGAGAAGGTGTGTATTAGAGAATGTATTATATGTAAATCTGATGGATTATTAGTACAAATGGAGGAGAGAGGAGATTGGAAGCTAAAAACTTTATAGGTAATAAAAACCCATTAACAATCAAAGATCCCTGGGTAGTGCTAATGGTTGGCGCTCACCCACTAACTGAAAGGTTGGAGGTTTGGACCCACTCAGCAGCACAGCAGAAGAAAGGCCTGGTGGTATGCGTTAATAAAGATTATAGACAAGAAAGCCTTAGCGAGCTCAGTTCTACTTTGTAACACATGGGGTTGCCATGAGCTGTAATCAACTCAACAGCAACAGGTTTGCTTTTATTTGGTTAAAGCCAAAAGAAATTGTAGGCATTAACTAGTCTAATCCCCTAATTTTATACAGATGAGGAAATTTAAGCAGGGAAAATAAAAGTCAGTAGCGGAATTGGGGAAGAACTCTGATCTGACCTTGTCATCACATTTTGATGTTGTTGTTAAGTGCCGTCAAGTCAGATCTGACCCATAGTGACCCTATAACAGGGTTTCCAAAGATAAATGTTTGACCAAATATAGTAGGCTACTTTTTTTTTTAATGTTTTATTGTGAATTATATGATAGTTTACATGGGAGAACTTTAGTTTTACATTCACTCCATCATATGGTTCCAATCCCCTCCATGCATCATCAACCACCCAAAGGGTATATCCCAGAAACCCGGCCCCTAAACTTTCCCCTTCCCCCCCACCCCCCCCCCCCCCGG